TGGCTGTCCAACGAGGCCTTAAAAATAGCAGAGAAGGGAAAGAAAATGCAAGGGAGATAGGGGAAAGTTACAGAAAACTGAAAGCAGAGTTCCAAAGAATAGCAGGGAGAGACAAGATGGCTTTCCTAACCTCAGATATGCAGATTATACCACTCTGATGGCAGAACGTGAGGAGGAATTAAAGAACCTCTTAATGGGGATGAAAGAGGAGAGCGCAAAAAATGGTCTGAAGCTCAACGTCAAAAAAAAAACTAAGATCATGGCCACTGGTCCCATCACCTCCTGGGAAATAGAAGGGGAAGATATGGAGGTAGTGACAGATTTTACATTCCTGGGCTTCATGATCACTGCAGATGATAACAGCCACGACATTAAAAGACACCTGCTTCTTGGGAGGAAAGTGATGACAAACCTAGTGATGACAAACATCTTAAAAAGCAGAGACATCACCTTGCTGACAAAGGTTTGCATAGTCAAAGCTATGGTATTTCCAGTAGCGATGTATGGAAGTGAGAGCTGGACCATAAAGAAGGCTGACCGCCAAAGAATTGATGCTTTTAAACTGTGGTGCTGGAGGGGACTCTTGAGAGCCCCCTGGACTGCAAGGAGATCAAACCTCTTCATTTTGAAGGAAATCAACCCCGAGTGCTCACTGGAAGGACAGATCCTGAAGCTGAGGCTCTAATACTCTGGCCATCTCATGAGAAGGGAAGACTCCCTGGAAAAGATCCAGATGTATGGAAAATGTGAAGGCAAGAGGAGAAGGGGACAACAGAGGATGAGATGGTTGGACAGTGTCATCAAAGTAACCAACATGAATTTGACCAGACTCTGGGAGGCAGCGGAAGACAGGAGGGCCTGGTGTGCTCTGGTCCATGGGGTCACGAAGAGTCGGACACAACTTGACTAAACAACAACAACATAGGCTTGTTCTTCTCCCTGGCGGCACAGTGGGGAATTTAACTCTCAACTCCAGGTGTGCTCCATCTCACTGAGCTATCTCTCCAAATCCCAAAATGTCTACTCAGAAATACTCCCCACTGAATTCAGGGGGACTTACTATCAGATGTGTACAGAACTTCATAAATTTAATTGATAAAATTTCGATGTGAATAAATTCTGAAGAAAAATATATACTCTTACCTAATCAGCATTGCACAAAGTCTACACTTCCATTTATGGCTCAGTTGCAGCTCGCCATTGTTTATGCTAGGAAGGGTTGGTAGAAGTTGCAGTCCAGTGATATCTGGAGAACAGTAGTTTACGTGCTACTGATTTAAAACATGTTGCTTGATGTCTTACAGGAGCCATTCTTTTCATTTGGGGTGGGTGGGTGGAACATTTGTCTGAAGATGACACCTGTATTTTAAACAGACCAACCATCAAATTATTTCAACCAATTTAAAAAAGTATCCCTGATGAATAAAAGATATATTTAAAATGTTTGGGTCCCCCTCCCCATTAAACTGAATCACTTTTATTGATCAAATATTCTAATAAAATCGTTAATAGCATCTAGAACATCAGTTCTGTATTAATTTGCAATTTTTATTTCTAGGTAAATCATGTTACTATGAAAAGAATTAAAATTCCCAAAGACCCTGCAGAGAAAGAAGTTGAAGTGACCCGGACAAGAAGTACAGTAGTTCTTTTGCACTGTGACATCATAGGAGATCAGTTTTGGGAACAGTATCCTGAAATCCTTTCTGATGACAGCTGACCTTCCCTACACAAATTCTGGGGTGAAATACTTTGCAGATGATTTGCAAGGACTGCATCATATGGAGAGAGAAGTGAATGGCCCAGTATGAGTGTTGCTATAGTTTAAAAAGGTGCGCTGCACCTCTTTAAACACTCTTACAAAGCCATGTTGTGGCCAGAAACACACTGCCATGAGTCTGTACACTGTACCATAACAGCAATGAGGGGCCTTATAGCAGCAGCATCAACCAATTTTACTGTGGAAAAAGAATGTCTTTAATTTAAGCTCTGGTCTCAGAGGTACTCTACTGATGCAAGTCTCCTGAGATTCTAAGCTGCCCATTTGAAACTTGGAAAACATTTAAGCTTTAACTTCAAATTAAGTTATATCATCAGGGAGCCAAGTTACAAATTATCCTACTTGCTAATGTCTCTGGATTATAAGAGTGATAAACAAAACACCTCTGCAAGTAGCTAAAACTAATTAGGAACTTTTCTCTCAAGTGTAAATTAGTTTTGGCCTTTCTGAAAGCTAGGAGACGTAATTTCCCACTGTAATCATACATTTATTGTTTGGACTCTCTCCTTGCTGCTTTTCTGATTATTAGAGAAGGCCTCAGGTGACCAAACTGGAATAATAAAGTTATTATATAAGGGCAGTATCACAGTAGGGTATGTTTGTAGGTCATGCTCTCATTTTACGGCTGTCTGGGAAGCCTGTCCTGTTCCTACTGTGGAAGATTGGTTCAACATCTTGCAGAAAGTACTTTATGGTGATGCCAAGCTGAAAAAGAGTTTGTGATGCTCCTCTGCCCTTCCTTTAATCAAAGGCATGAAATAATTATGACATGAGGTGTTTATGCAAAATACATTATCTAGTATGTTTTATCTGCTTTCTCCTTTGGCATGTAAAAGCGATATATTAGCCTTTTTGGAAATTGATAAATACTAAAACTATTTTCTGGTATAGTGTTACAGTTATGCACTATAAATATATTTTGTATATAAAATGTGTGTCTTTCTAATGGTCTGCATGTTGATTGAGGTTTCATTAAGTTGTAGATTGGGTGTGCCATGAGGGACAATTTAAATGGTTGAGAGATATGGAAGAATGTTCATTAATGGATATGTGTGCTGTTTGGTCAGTATGATTCCTGGCTGGAAAGAATGAACCAAGTCCTGTTGGTTATTTTTTAAGTTAGGAGTCACAAGACAAAATATCTGCATATACCAGTAGTCAGTACCAAGACACATGGTTTGTGTAGTGTTACCAAAGTAACTAAGGTTGGTTGTTTCATCAGAAGTGTTCTTACTTCTAACAGGGCAGTATAAACTCACCCCTTAGTTCAGGGGTCAGGGAACTTTTTTACCCTTTACCCCCCAAAAATTTTATATAGGCTGACATTACCCCCTTGATTCCAAAGGAAGGAAATCATAGACTATTTGAATTAAAAATATTTTTGAATCTACACAGGCTGTGTACCAAACTAGCAGGATGCACCAAATTTGATAAAGATATGCACTATTTTTGCTGGAACACATCGCACTCCAGCCTTCGGGTGGTATAGGGAGTAGTAAGGTGTCCAACGTGCCTAGCAAGTTGCATTAAATTTTTGCTAGCTCGCAGAGGATTTAATCATCATCAGTGGCTGCCAGAGTGGTGCTAACAATGACATGCTAGAGACAGCCAATGCAGAATTGGGGGGGGGGGTTCCCTACCACTTTAATCATTCTATGTGTGGTGTGCAAAAAGGAACAAACCAGGCTAAAAGCCATGTCACCCACCCTGGTGCCACAGCCCAATATCAAAAGGCCAGTGTGCTTTTTTAAAATCATCAATGGAAAACTCAGCAGTGGCCAGCACTCTGCTCATTACCCCCAGAATTTTTACTTTTACCCAATTTGGGGTAATTCACCCCTGTTCCCTGACCTATGCCTTAGTTTGAACAGTACGGTACAAGTGAACAGTGGCTGTTTCTTTGGTTTTGTGATATGGATAATCCAACTTCATTCATAAATCTAAATAGCAACCCCAAATTTGGTGTTAGTTTGGGAGCAGTTGTCATTTGGGTGGTGGCACACACAGGTAACTAAGCGAGACATATTCGTTAACTATGTAACTATAATTTCTAACACTTCAAATGCATTGAAATAACTTTTGTAACCCTGTGTGTTAAAATTGGTTTCTGTATGAAGGACAATGCATTATGATGATTCTGTTGGAATGAATGGACTTAATCCTATTTTAAATATCCTTGTGCTAGGAATTAGATTTAACCAAGCACCCCTCTTATCTGCATTAAGAATCTGGCTTGGTCTCACCCTTAGGGTAACTGAATTTATGGATGCTGGAGTTGAGGGCTCTCTAAGCTTTTCTTGGCCTGTCCCATCTTGAGCCAGTACTCATAACTGTGATGTCTGGCTGTTGCCTCACTTTCATGCCTAGTTACTATTCCTAAACATATAACAAACAGGTCTTGACTGAAAACCTACATACACACAGAGAGAGAGAGAGAGAGAGAGAGAGACAGACAGAGAGAGAGACAGACAGAGAGAGAGAGAGAGAGAGAGAGAGAGAGAGAGAGAGAGAGAGGCGCTTGACCCCAAGCCATGCACTCCAGCAAGCATCACACGTTATTAGTTGCTCTGCATGATGGCACCGCTGTTGCACTGCAGCATTCATTTGAAACAATTAGCAAGCTGGCATGAAGTAAAGCAACAACTGAATTACCTAAGATGTTGAGGTATACAAGTGGTTGAGGTATACACAACCTCTCCTGCAATCACCTCCCCATCTGACCTGCTGTTATCGGATATGGGGGACTGTGCACTGCTTGGCTTTGGTGCCTGAAAAGGAAGTAGGGAGTCAGAATAGCTGCTTGCTGGGGTTGGTAATAGGGATAATCCAAGAGAAGGAGGTTGTGAACAGAGACTCCTCCTCTTGGATTATTATGGTTACCAATCCAGTCAAATAGTCATCTTGGTTCACAACCTCATTCTTTGTACTGTACTACAGAAAAGGAAGGGTTGGGAAAAAGATGTCCTTCATACAAATGTCTTGTGGTACAGAAAAACCCACTGATGACACATCACTTATTCAGAACTTAGAACAATTTCCTTTGATTTTAGGTGGTAAGGAGGGAGGCTTGATTTTCATCCTCATGACAGTAACATTGAGCTCTTAGCATCTGTTATTGGTATAAAAGGTTGAAGAAGATTGGTTTGGATTTTAAATAGCATGGAGTATAAAATTGAGATATCCTATGATATACTATAGGCAGCTTATTTATTTATATTATTGATGTGCTGCCTTTCTCTCCATATGGAATGCAAGGCAGTTCACAACAAAACTACACAGTGATCACAGTTTTAAAATACTAGTAAAACTTTATTAAAAACAATTAAGCATTTGTCAATATTGAAACCAAAATGTAAAAAAATTGAAAAAAAAACCATTAAAAAACCTCTGAGTTTAATAAATGTAGCATTTCCTAGACCCCTATGTATTGTTTAAAAGCTTGCCTGAAAAGGAAGGTATTTGCCTGACAACAGAAAGTCAACAGGGAGGAGGCCAACCTGGCTTCTCAGGGCAGTGCTATTCCAAAGCCAGGCTGTTCTTCTGAACAAAGATAAATGGCATCAAAGAGATGCTTCTAAGCCCTATCCCAGCTGCACAGTCAGAAAGATATCGTGGTTGCTATGAGGGATGTGTACAATCTTTGAACAAATGTGTACAAAGGAACTTAATGACTATTTGCATTTCCCCATGGGGCAGAGCAGAGAGCATGTATATATTAACACAGCATTGTTATGCATTCATGGACCATTCATGTTAAATCCAGCATTCATCCATCATGATTACAAATAGGGAAGGTGCAAGAAAATTCAGAAAGGTGCTGAGTTGATTGCAATGGAGGGAAATATGTTCTTTACCTAACGAACTACAGGACAAGAGGATTGCACATTGGCCATTTAAAGTCAGCCACTCAGACCAGATATTTGCAGCTACTGAGGCAAGAAGCAGAAAATACTGTTAATTTTGATAGAGAAATCTAGCAGTTCAGATGGAGCTGCAACTCTTTTAGTGGGGATGGGCAGGGTAATACCCCAAACATGTCAGAGGATTGCTGTTGAAGCCCCTCATTTTGCAGAACTTAGACTTTACAAGGATTGAAAGGTGCCTCCTGCTGGAAAGGGCTCACTTTTTGCTGAGAAGGCTGCGAAACAGCATCTGAGAGCTGTGAGTATCCCAGTAGAGGGATGAGGTATGGGCACTACAGAAGCTGGTGGCCAGGAGTGAATGAAAGTGGGTGAATTAAGAAAACATTGAAAAGTTTTGGACATTTTTTTGGAAATGTCTGAGGGGAAACCTACAAGGAAACACACCCAGGCCAGATGCTGGCAAGGACTTGGTTACTGCTGCTAAGCCTAGTCCACAGCTGGGTTCACCTTGTTACCTACCTATAGAAGGTACCTAAAGGCAGACCCCTCATCAGCTTTTGTGGCTGGAACTGGAGTAGATTCTCAAGCTGTTCTGAGGAAGCCTGTGCTGGAACTAAAAGGCAAACTAGGCGTGATGTTCCACAAGGACATGGAGAAGCCTCAGACCCACCTCCCAGTCCATAAAGCAACAGTGGGTGAACCAAGTCGGGCTCGCTATGGCAGAGGGAACTAAGCAGCCTGCCTCTAGTGTTGGCCTTGATGGACATGGAGAGGCTGGGATTGATGTCTCAGAAGGGGAAGATGTGATGTTTTCCCCACTCTGGACTCACTATTTTGGGGGGTGGGGTGTAACTAGTTGTTTATCATGAGACAACAAATACATTTTCTGGGAGCTGAATGGGAACAAGCATTACGGTTGCCTGATCCCACAACCCTACAGACTGCAGTGGACATGATGGGGAGAGAGAAAAACCCTCCAGCAATGAGACGGAGGGCTTCATACAATCCCTAAGTGGTCTCCCAATTAGGTGACTCTACGGAGTCAGCCACATGGAGCCAAAGAGACCAAGCACAGACAAGCTGGGGTGAACTGTAGGATGAACTTAAGGCCTTGCGGGGCTCCATGAAAGAACCAAGGCAGCAGTTAGTACCAGAGGTGTTTCAAGCCTGTCACAGGGCGGCTACAGACCAGGGGCAGGAGGCAGATGTTGGACGATCTGGCTGGAAGGCTCAAAGGGGGCAGAGAGGACCCTTCTGAAGCAGAGACCCTACAGCAGACCATCTGGCACTTTGTGGCCATGTTCCCTCTTCAACAGGGAGAGTAGCCCCTAAACCCAGCCACACAGAATTAAAACAAATACACGTCTTTAATGTTCATAATTCTTAAGGTGTGCATTCAGGTACTAGGTGTTAGAAAGGCAGGTGGTTTCCCAACAAAGTTGCGCTCCTCCGCCTCTCACTGGGGGTGCATTATTCCATGACATTTTCCACAGCGAAGGGCAGGTCATCTCTCCCCCACCCCCAACTCGGCATCGTGATGGATTGCAGCAAGAGAGTGGGTGGGTGTTGCGCCAGGTTTCTGTCCCTATCTTTCGGAGGACTGCGAGCGGACGGGGGAGGCCCCTCGGTGCTGTCATGTTCAATCACCGTTATTGACAGGCGGGAGTATTTCTGCTCCGAGCAGTCCCGGAATCCCAATGCCCCCCCTCCCCCGGGTTGGCGTGATTTTTTGCTGTCAGATGAGCCCGCGGCTCCTTCTGTTCTCGCCGCCTTCTCGCCTTGTTGCGGGGGCGGGCGGGCTGTTTCCTGCGGCTGGGAAACGGAAGCGAGCCATGTTTCAATCCAGCGCACCTTGAATGTCAGCCAATGGTGGTTTTATTTTAGCACGACGGGCGCGGGCAGAGCAACAGGCGCGCTCGTTTACAAACACTCCTAGTTGACTTCGATTTACTACGGCGCAGGAGGAGGAGGAGGAGGAGGAGTGGAAAGCAATGCCCGGCCGTTGCTGGCCCGCCCCGGCGAGCGGGATCCGAGGTCCAATCGGGTGTAGCGAGGAGAGGCCACCGATGGCCTTCCGGAGCCAGAGCGCAGCGCTCTTTCGGGCGGGGTTTCGGCTCTCCCGGTCTTCTGCGAGGCTCAACCGGCCCTGAGAAGGGCGGGAAGAAGCCGGCCGCCGGGCAAGTCGTCAGGCTGGGGCGGCCCTTGGCGGCGAAGACGGGGCGCGGCGCGGCGTCTCCGGCTGGCCCCTCCCCGCAGGGCCAGGGCGAGAAAGAGCCATGGAGGAGGCGGAGAAGGCCGGCGCCGCCGCGCCTCGGAGGCGTCGCCGTCGCTCCAGCGGCCGCAGCAGCTCGGAGCGGTCGCCCAGCCCCGGCCGCCTGGACGTGAGCTCGCCGCGCTTCGACCCGCTCCTGGCGCTGTATTCGGAGCGCACCCCGCTGCCTTACCCGGGCGCGCCCTGCTTCAACAACCTGGCCGAGTACGAGAGCTTCCAGCGCGGCCTGCTCCGCGGCCCCCGTCGCCAGCGAGGGGCTGCGGCGGCGGCGCCGGCCGGTGTAAAATACTGATTATGAATGTTAAGTACATGTGAATCAAATAGGCGCCTCCGCAGCCTCATGGTGGTCAAAGAGGAAGCCGGGCAGGAGCCAGCCAGAGCGCGGGGCCGGAGGGCGCCGCGCAACGTGCTCACCAGGATGCCCCGTAAGCAGGGGAAGGGGCGCCGCGGTCCGCCAGAGCCTGGCCCTCCGCTCGTTGAGGGAGGGGGGGAGGGAGGCACTCTGCATATGCTTGGAGACACACGCCCGTGTTATGGTTGCAAAGGCACCTTCGTCTCCTCCGACCTGTCGTGGCAAACCACTTGGGGCACTCGAAGCGTTTGCCAGGTGTGTCTGGAGTAAAAGCGAAGGATATGCCCGGGCACTGCGGGTCGCTCCGGTGTAACACGCCCCACACGGGATTTCTAACCACGTGTGCACGCCTTGCCTGGCGCCGGTTCCCTGCAGGGCGCACGCACAGGCCCAAACCTTTAACAGTGATAGTACAGTACTGTACTTGATATGGAGCAAAATAGGCTAATCGTTTTATCTTTGAGACGAATCGAAAGGAACCGTTGCCTCTTTAGCCAGTGCCCGAATTGTAGTTTCTGAAGGGAAAATATTTAAAAAAACACAAAAACCATGTGTGCGGGAAAGAACATGGTTGACTATGGTTGGAAAAACGGGTTTCCCTGAATGAATGGTGGTTTTTTTTTTAAGAAGACAGAGATTAAATGTGGAAGGAGTAAAGGACTTTTTGGATTATGGTACAATAATCAAAAAGGGAGGGCTGACTGAACACTGTGGTGAATGAGGGAAGGGCAGCCTATATTGATGATGAGATGAGCATGAACAATAGTGAGAGATTGCTAAAAAGTGAAGGGAACTAATGTGCAAGAGGTATGAAGGGCGAGGGAATGGAAGTAGACACTTAAGAGCCTTAATTTGCTCTTAAAATCATGATTTGTCCTTGCTGTTACCATAGTCTCTCAAGACTGAAGGATGCCTAATCTAATCAGTCCTTGCCAAAGACAGACCAAAGCCTTGGCTGTCATGCCATTCATTTATTCTCAGAGGGAAGTACCCTTTCTGGCAAGCACAGTGTGTTCTTCTTGTGTGCCATAATATTGTAGCCAACTTATGGTGATCACAAATAAGGATTTTATGAGCCAATGTGGTGTCGTGGATAGAGTGATGAGCTAGAATAGAGGTCTGCAATCCCTGATCTGTGGCCTGAGCCGGATTGGGCCGCGGAGACAGACCTCCTCACCCCACCCCCACATGCACTCCCCCCCACAGCCCGTTTCTGCCTGCGCGCAAACGCATGTACACCCACACGAGCACTGTGTGTGCCCACCCACAGCCCGTTTCTGGCTGCGCGCAAATGCATGTACACCCACACGAGCACTGTGCCACCCTATGCGCATGAGTATGTGTGCGCCTACACGAGCACCCCCACTCCTTTGCACATGTGCATGAGCATGCACGCAAGAGAGAGCGCACGCTCCTTCGCGCATGAGCACAGGGGGATGGCCCACCTTCCTCAGCCAGTCTGCGCGGCTAAAAAGGTTGGGGACTGCTGGGCTAGAAGACTGTTCAGATTCCTGTTTGGCCATGGGAAAACACTGGGGCGGGAGGGGAGAGGTGGTTCATACAGCCACTCCTTAAATAACTTACATACCTTGAAACCCCCTATTAGGGTTGTATGTCAGATGGAACTTGATGGCACATAAACAAGGTGTCTCAAGGTATGTGAGATGTTCAAGGAATCGTTTATCAGTTGCCGCCCTCCCCCCCCATGAGTTTCCAGGGTTGAGTAGGAATTTGAACCTTGGTCTCCTATATGCTGCTGTTATGTGCCAGAAGATGTACTGTGAGACACATAACAGCAGCAGGACTGTTGGTGTTAGTAGTAGCTTGCCAGGTACTAAGGGTTTTGCTCTACTCAGCTGAATTTAGCTGAGAATGTTTTGTTGAGCGGTAATTTGAACCAGGGTCTCCACTACTGTAATCACCTCACCACATTAGTTTAAAAGATGTAGCATTTGTCAGGTTGGTGGAAAGCGAGTCATGGCTAGAGATGGGGGTATCCATATACAAATATTCCCCCCTACAGGTGGAAATAACAAAGGTCTGGCCCCATGGGGCCGGATTGTCCACTCACCATTCCGCCATGGACGCGCGCTCGACAGAGCCTTTCCATCACGCTGTTGTCGGCAATAGATTAGCCACAACTGGCAGGAGGCAGGATGACAAACCTCTCTGCCAGGTCACAGAGTGGTTTATCCATTGCGGACAGACAGAGAGGCTTATCCATTGCGGACAACAGCGCGATAGGAAGGCTCCATCAATCGTGCATCCGCGGCGGAATGGTGAGTGGACAGTCCGGCCCCATGGGGCCATACCCTTGTTATTTCCACCTGTGGGGGGGATATCCGTGTTCGTATATGGATACCCCCAACTCTAGTCATGGCAATCACCGGCCCCATGGGGTGAGACCCTTGTTATTTCCTCCTGTGGGGAGATATCCATGTTCATATACGGATACCCCCAACTCTAGTCATGGCAGTCATGTTTGGCCTTGCACTCATTTGTTTCAGTTGTTCCTTCTGTGTGGGGCATCATTGTGGAAGAAGAGAGACCCGTCCGGGGTCCTGGTGGAAGGAGAAGGAAAAACCATATGCGCACTGCCTTTGAGAAGCATGCAAGGTTGAGGCAGAGTGGCTAGGAGATGTTGACTGTGGTTGAACCAAGAGCTGTGGCATGGCGAAAATTAATTTCTGGAGTTTTCATTGGCTTATTTTGGATAGCGAGGACAGTTCAGGTGCTCTGTTGTACAGGCAGAAGATAAAAGTAGTTGCTGAGGAAAAGGGCCAGTTGAGATACAGCTTGAACTGAAGGCGCATGTGTCCTGCTGCTTGCTGTGCGTCCTTTACCAAATAGTTATTGAAAGCATCTTTGTACATTTGCTGTATCTTGGCACGTGCCCATTTGTGAGCTGCATGACAGAATGACTCAGAAAGCAGGCTTTGGGAAAGGTGACAGGGACAAATAGGGATGTGTTGCAAGCATTGCAACCATTTTCTTCCTCAGTCCCCAAAGTCAGCTCTTCTTGCAGTATTGATTTAGAGTGACTTGTTTTGGGGTTAAAATAGTCTCTGTACTTCTGAGAAATACTACTTCTGGATCAGGAATGTCCAACGGAGTTGCTACCCCATTTCCCCGAAAATAAGACTTAACCTGAAAATAAGCCCTAGTATGATTTTTCAGGATGCTCGTAATAAAAGCTCTACCCCCAAAATAAAACCCCACTTAAGTGAAGCCCCACCCCCCACCATTGTGTAGCAACCAGAAGAAGATGACATGACTGTATTTGAATAAATGTAGATTGTTGTACATGAAAAAAAATAAAACTTCCCCTGAAAATAAGCCCTAATGCAGTTTTTGGAGCAAAAATTAATATAAGACCCTGTCTTGTTTTCGAGGAAATTGTGGGTCTCAACTGTGTTCACCCTGAGGTCTATAATATAGTGAGTGATTATGATAATACAGCAATAGACAAGCGAATCAGAGCTAGATGGCACCATGTGTGATGTTACTTTTGAGGTCCTGTGTGGAATCCTTTCCCCAAATTCCCTATTTATATCAGTGGGATCATGATTTTTCCACTAGAGTTTGGATGTCTGTACTGATAGCCAGAAGAATGTAGAAGTAGAATGTGTATGATTTGAAAATGTTGGCCAAAATGCAGTGTCTGGTCTAGGATATTTCAGTTAGTGGAATTGGATGTTTTCTGCATCCGTCCTGCAGCATTTTGAGCTGTTCTAAACCTGATCCAGAGGGTTTCCTATCTCTTTGAAGTAGATTTTGAGCATTCATGGGGAACAGGTACAGGGAGAAGAACAATCACTCCCCTCCCAAATCCACTGATGGCAGCTGGTCCTTCAGTGGAATGTTCCTGTTGGGTTCTGCCCGTTAGGTTTTCAGAGCTAATCAAATTGTTCAGGCCTGTTGAATCAGAGGGTCTTCCATGAGTTTTGACTTGATGAGTGTCTTTTATTTGCCACCTGCCATCTGCACTAGCATTATTACTCAAAGTCTTGACCTTCTCACCTGACTGAAGCAGCTGTCCATACCTATCAGTATTATGTTCTACATGCAGGTTGGGTTTACATAATGTGTTAATGTCAATGTCTGTTACAACAATCTAGAGATTGATCCCTGACCTTATACATGCTTTCCTAATTTATGTGCATGGAGCTAACCATGCTGTTTGGAGAACATGTTGCCTTTGTGTTTTCTTTGCTTGTTTTGCTCTAGTTTGATAACTCATGATATCTTAGACACACACATGTTTTCGTACAATATTTTAAACCAGCTATTTTAAACTCCCAAGCCATAAAATACACGTGTCCCATTCGTACAGATTCTGTTTAATTTTTCTAATAACGGAAGCACAACTTAATGCTGAATAAGCAGCTTCTTAGTGTCTATAGACTATTACTACATTCTTGAACAAAATTATTCTGATTTTTATTAAACTGCAAGCGATCTGATTTAGATTCAGTGTTTATAGCTTGAGATGTCATTGGGTTAATAAATTTCAATAAAGTTCTGCTTTGAAAATGGTTAGTTTTAAGAGTGACAAAACTTAGTGAACTGCATTGGGAGAGCGCTGGGAAAACTTTTTTTTAAATCTGTGAGTCATGATTATGTTCTCTGATATTATAAAAGAGATTGTCATCAGCTGTGACTCATATACTTTTCAGAACTCAGTCACTGTCATTTATTTGATTTATATATGACCTCAGTGTTAGCACTGATGTGGGCAGTTTACACAAGATTAAAATCCACAAACCCTTAATCTGTAGGTTGTGAATTAAAACCATTAATCTATCTTCCAAAATTTGGAAGAGGACAATTTTTCATGCATTTGGGACGGGTAGGTTGTTCATTCAGAATAGACCCCCCTTTATAGAAGGTGTGAATCTGAACCGTTGACATGGAGTAATATTTGTGTGCCATCAATTTGATTCTGACTTATGGTGACCCTTTTTGGGGTTTCTTAGGTCTGAAGTACTCAGAAGTGGTTTACCAGTGCCTTTTTCTGGGAGCACACATGTCCTATTAATGATTTATTTATATTTTGTCTTCCGATTTTTTTTT